ATGTGAAAACTTATGGTGGGTGGCAGGACCAGGCCCCGCCCACAAGGGGCGGGGTTTGAGCGGAAACTCACAAGTCCGATAAAGGTCTACAATGAAAATCAGCTCATGTGGCTCCTTTCCTCATGGCTAGAGCCCCTAGCGCACGCGAATGCGTGCGTAGCCGCCTGGTATGAAAGGAGCTAACAAGGTAGTTTCGATAGCACCGATTTCTCCCCCGATTTTCTTAAAGCTGGCATATGATTTCTCTGTAAGGACACCACTCACGTGGAAGAAATGCATCCCTTACTCATTCAAATTATCTGATAAAACACGATCTTCTATATCGTATGTACCGCGGATTATTTTGATTATTCATTATTGCCTAAGAAGGCGATCCTTCTAACAAAATCGAAGGGTTCGCAGAAAAAATATGTACAAAGAAAAGTGTTCCTGGATTTCTTTTCTGAATTTTTCTTTTCTGGGCTCTGTTTGGCTCACATATCATTAAGAAGAGGTTCTTACGCTGTTTTTGGATTTGCATCTAGAACTGATAATTTCAAAAGTTAAATGAAATGCTATCTCGAGGAGGTCGCGACAATGAGAGCGATCAACATAATAGGTATCTTTATCTAGAATTCCACCACACTACAAAGACTAACAGGTGTTGTCTTTGTCAGAAAATTCAGAAAAGAAATTCAGAAATGAAGTTCGCTGATGGCTTCGTTTGAATTTTAGGCAAATGGAATGACTTCCAAGAGCATGATGAAGTTTAGGTGAAGAAAGTGATCTTCCCAAACGAGTCTGATTCATTACTGATTCTGTAATAATTGGAGGGTAAGAAGAACACATAAGATTGGACAGCCTAGTTGACCTGAACAATTTTTGAGGTTTTGAAAAAATCTTCGAGCTGTATGGCACTACCGGGTATAGGCAACGGCTCCAATTCCACGTCTTTATGCAGTCACTTCGGGTAACGGTGAAAGTAATTCATTCCCACCTGAGTGCAGATTTTCAGAGAAATATGGAACACCTTCGTTCAATATAAGTGTTCTTGGTGCTTCCATAGAGGAGCTTATGGAGCCGATAAGAAATCCTGATCATCTGGATGGAATTCTACGGTAACAGGCACTTTTCACTCTCTTGCAATTCCAAACTTTTCTTTCTATAGACGTTTTGAGTCGAACGACGTCACCTCTCAACGACCGTTCCCTTCTACACGATTGATACCATTTCTGAAAAGGGTAGAGTACGATTCAAGGTGAGTTTCTAGGATTACGGTGATTTGAGCAGCCTCACCTTTCACTGTCTGCCATTCAGAACACCTCCGGTGTTGTTTGTCGGTGACAAAGTGATCGTGAAGATTGGGCTCCAAATCCAGGCGATGAGCAATTTCGAGTTGTCCACAATGGTGAGTCGATGTACCCTGCACCCTTGCCTTACCGTTTTATATGAACTTCTCGACTGTTCAAAATCCGTACAAAGGACTACGATGTCGATACGTGGCTCCGTATGGCTTGGTACGATCCCCGCCTGAGACATGGATCCAGCCGTCCAATTCTCGTCAACGAATTCACGTTTCTGAAAAAAATCTGGAGGCCTGATCCGATTTTTACAAACGCGAAGTCGGCCACATTTCACAAGGTAAGTATTATGTTGGCCCCGTAAATGAAGCTGCTGCTGATCTATGAGCAAACTGGCTTTCTTTGGATTTAAAAAAAGGGATGTGTGCCTACAAAGTAGTCCAGGGTCCAACTCGACTTGATTCAAATAATATCTTTTTTTTTGTTAGTATTTCGAGCAAATCGCGGCCTCCTTGGCCGGAGAAAAGATTGAGAAGAGCCATTATTTAGTTTACTTAGCCAATGTTTATGTGATGATCGACTTTGAAAGAAATGTTTATTCAATTCTAAGCTGAATTGGGCAACTGATGATCTTTGTTGTTTCAGGTCACCTACCTCAATTTTTACATGCTTATATTCCCTGGAGGAGAGGTATTTTTAGATTTTCGGGTTTATTTGAAACCGACAGCAGCCGAAGTGATTCTCTGTAAATATCCTCACGATAATCCTGCATGCTCGTTGAAGATCACTTCGCGTGAGTTTACGAAATCGCAGTTTTTAGAAGAGTGTCACACTTTCGTCCCTCTAAAACTGAAGGGATTTTGATCATATACAAAAGAGCCTGATCCTCGGAGATTTGAATTTTTCAAAAATATTTTCTCATTTTTTTCCCTTCACCTTTTCCTTAAGATCAAAACTTTCATTTGACGCCACGGTAAGAAGCTTGGCGCAATACTATATGGCCTGTAAAATGAGCAAGGGGATCTCTATGGAAGATATTTCGATCTATCTTGCTTCTGAATCTGTCATTTTCAGTTGGATTCACTTCCGATGCAGTGGAATTCGAATGGTTCTCCAAACCGTCTGACGCTATTCAACTGAATCGAGATCTTGAAATACCGGAACTGTCCCTGATCGATGTGAAGGCTGAGACCTGTGACGGTTCCCGCAAATCAGGTAAAATGGTTCTGAAATCTCGCTCAATCACAGAGGTCTCCTCATCAGGATGGCACTAGTGAGAGAGCAACAGAACTACCTTTCTAATACCTTTTCAAGCTGCAATTATACTTCCTTTTTTAGCTGTTGCTGTCTTCGAACTGTCTCATATTACTCCTAGGTAATTACTCTTGCATGGTAGCACGATTCTTTTTGCATCGAGAGCTTGGATATCATCTGGCTCAGACCTATATTCCGACAACGATTTGTGTCGTAT